ACTTGAAGCCAGGTGAAGGACCATCTGTGCTGGTTTCAACAGGGACAGAGTTCATTTTCCTAGTAGMTGGTACAGTGCCMTGTTTTGGGTTTAGGATGAGAATAGTGTTAATGCACTGATGTTTAGGTTGTTGCTGAGTATTGGTGACTGAATCAAGGCCTTTACAGGGTCCCATGCTCTGCCAGAAAGGAGCTGCACAAAAAGGTGGGAGGAAGCATGGCTAAGAAAGGTGACCCAAACTGGCCAAACGGATGTTTCATACCAGAGGATGTCGTGCCCAGTGTTATAAACTGGGGGTAGTTGGCTGGAAGGGGCTGGCTGCTGCATGGGGATGGACTGGGCATCAGTCAGTGGGGTGATGAACAATTGTGTTGTGCATCACTTTCTTGGGTTTTCTTTCTCTCTCCTTTTATGTTGACTCCTTTTTCCTTATTATTTCTAAGTTTAGTTTATTTCAATTACTTAATTGTTCTTATTTCAGCCTGAGGGTTTTGCCTTTTTTCCCCTGGTTCTCCTGCCTGTCTCACGGGGCAGGGAAGGTGTGAGCAAGCAGCTACATGGTACTTGGTGACTGGATGGGGTTGGTTGAACCGCAACATTGTTTTAAGAGCAGCTTAATTCTGAAATGTCCTGCTTGGGCAACAGCTGCTGTGTTGAATTGCTCACTGGGCACCATTTCTCTTGTGAAGGACCCCGGTGTAGCTGAGGAACAGGCRCACAAAGATCTAAGGGAACAGGACTTCATAGGAAATGCTCAGTAGGTTTTTCTGATGGCAAAGTGTAACTCCTGTGATGGGAAACACCTCTGTGCAGTTTCACCACTTGTTGCCCCTCTGTAACTAGGCTGCTTCAGCAACAAATTGATTCCTTTAGGATCACCATGGGTGGATGAAAGACATTTTAGAGTTGGCAAATCTGTTTGAAGGAGCATTTGTTGTGCCTTAAGAACTTGAGATTCTATTTAGATCTTTTACCCAGCTGTCCTGCAAATCTAATTAACCTCTCCCACCCCTTCTAGAAGTGGTCAGTGTAGAAGAGTTCATGSAGTACCATCTACCCTTCATGACACAGAAACTTGAGATGCAGAAAAGGCTTCTTATCTGGAAGCTGTAGCTGTAACAATGGACCTTTGTTTTCTTGGCCCTTRTAAGAACTTTCTTATTTCTTGCCATAAGCCACCACACAGTAGTGCAGGGGATTAGGTCATTTCCTTCCCTTCTCCTCTTCCTGCAGATTATTTGATTAGCATTTCTATTGTATACTCTAAATAGCATGTTCTTGGCTTCAGGCTGTTCGCCCCATCCATAATCTCCTTAAAACACTGTAGTATGACTTTTTATTAACAGTGTAACATGGGAACTCCTTGCACAGAGATTACATGTGACGTAGCACAATAAAAGATTAATGAGGCTGGTAAGTCATTAATCTTCCCKTCTTTCTTCTTCCCTCTTGCACCTGAGGTTAGGCTTCTGAGAACTCCCTAACAGTGTTAGTGCCTTATAACATGAGAAATATTTGTCTTTTTTTGATATCATTGGCTTTGATCAGAGTTCAGCTGGCCCCTGACTTCATGAGAAACAGAGTTCAGGTTGTGTATAGTGTRTATTCAGCATTCAGTATTGAGTGTACAAATATACCTCCCCTGTGGGATCATTACACATCCTGGTCTTCCACATTTTCTGCTCCCTTTTCTTGCCTTTCCTTCAGTCTCTGTTCTTATATATCCTATGTGCAGTAATTTCAAGCTCTTGTCCTGCGTGGGGTTTTTATTCCACTCCTTGCCTGTTTTGTTGAATATAATTATCAGCAGCTGTTTAAAATGTCAGTCTTRAAATTTAGTAGTAATATAGTGATCAGGTTAACTCCAGCATGAAGTGTTTGCCATTCAGGCTTTTTGCCAGTCTGGTCACTAGAGGCCATAGTGCTGCCCTTTGCCCCTATCTGTAGGGCTATCTTTTTCACTGGAACAGCTAGAAATGCATTCCTCTTCAAAGCTCCTGTTGAATGTCATGTGAAATCACGTAATTGTATCAAACTGTACAGCATCTGCTTGTGAGTCAGTCAGAGGAACATGACGATACAGCCCTTTATTTCTTTAACACCTATAAGGAAAGAACCTCCCCTGCAGTTCAGCATCACTTCATGAAATTAGCAGTGATATCTTGGGCTACAGATTGCATTGTTTTAGTCTGGCATGGTATCTGTACTCCAGGAGAAATCAGATAGCTTGCCTAGCGACAGCGTGCTGGAAGCATTTGCTTCCAGTCCTCAAGGCAACGACATAGTTCTTGGATGTAGTGAAAATCATTAAACCCTCCTCATCATAAAAGTGGGGGGCAATGTTGACACAAGAACAGCTGAGTAGAGCATGGCTATGAGTAAATACAGGCAGGGAGATGAAGTGGTTCAAACTCTGTTGGGTGAGATTCAGAGGCAGCCACATAAAAGTGTGCCTAGGGGCAAAATAAACCCTCAAAAAACCTGAATTRGGAAGGGGCATGATCAGCTATAAAMAGGACATTGTGTGGTGTTGCCTGATAGCTCCAGAGGGTCACTAATATGAAGGCAGGTAAGGATTGTTATCTGGAGTACACTGGGTAGGGTGATAGAAAGCAAATCCACCTGCAGCTACTCACTCTAYCTTCTTAGGTGGCTGCAACATAAAGTAATCTACAAGCTTATTAACCTGAACTCTGAACAGCTGCATCTGTAAAATGAGAATAAAGGAGTTCTAGAAGCAAATTAGTCTGTAAGTTTCGCTTTTCACGATGGATGCTTTTGAAACAGTACAACTCAAGTTTTACAACTTGTGTGAGAAAAGTAATACAACCTAGAARTGGTCATACCAATGTAACTTATCACTGCAGTTAAATACCTGAATACAGAGCACCTTTTGTATTCTTGGTGCCATATCTGCCTGTTAAGTGATACTAATGCAGTCCCAATCTGTTTTGGTTTGTTTTTTTTTTTTTTTTCTTTTAAAACAAAATCACAAAAGCAAACCCTTAGCCCTGATTAAAGCAGCATTCAAGCTCCCAACTTTGTAAAGGCTGGGACTAAATAGAAAATACTTGAAAGTGATGGGCGAGGTGGGATGGTGTGACTCCTCTCCCCAGTAAAAAGTGCCATTTTAAGAGTCTACATGTTACCAGATGAAAAGCTGGGTTTGTGTGCTAGTAGTGTGAGGCTGTTGATTTTKGGCAGGGAGGAGGATTCAGCTTACATGTTGAAATTGGGCTTGATGAGTCTCTGGCATTACTGTTGAGATTGATCCCCTCATTTGCATTAGTATAGTGGGCTAACAGAATAAACCCACAAACAGATAAGCAAAATTATTTGGGTTGAAATAGCTGGGGATTTGTGTGTGGTTTTGGGTTTTGGTTTTTGCTTTAGACCCTTGCCACTTTAGTAATCTGATAGCTGTGATAATGACTATACCATTTCAGTAGCATGGGWTTTTTGGTGACCAGAAGCGTGGAAACAAGGGAGCACCTGTACATCAGTGTTTCTCCAGGCACTTCCCAATGTTCAGAAGCTGTGGCTCAATCACTTCTGTGTAGCAAAGTGGTGTCTTCGTGTGTGGTAATCTACAATAGGAGAAAATAAGTGTCTTTGAGCCTATGTCTAGTTTTATTATCAGAATATTCCATGACAAGGTGTTCTGCAGCTRAATTTTCTGGATGGGTGACAAGATCCTGTAACAGGAGAGCTGTACAGTATTACTTAGGGGAAAGTTGGCTGTGGAGTACAGGTTGAGGAGAGAGAAAAGAGGGATGCATTCACCTTGTTCTCAGCAGTGAAGCTGACTTATCTGGAGCTGTAGCTTATGCTGTGTTACGGCATTATAAACAAAAAAGCTGTTTTGACAGTTCTTATATCTGAGTCTTACCCAGGGGCTATAGTGTGAGGTGAAATGGGGAAGTGATCCAGCTAAAAAATAACAGAGCAGAWAAAACAACTTCTTAAAATGTTGACAGATCAGTCCATAAAATTGTGCTTAGAAAACTGAGGTGGCAAGCTAAGGAGAGAGCAGCAGAAACAGGAGCAAAAATCACTTGTACAATTTGGAGATGTGAAATGTGAGGCTGTATCTACATTGCTTGGCCATGGTAACCATGTACCCCTTCTTCACAGCTGCCCACTCCAGCTGTGATGTAAAACTTGATGTAAAGGTTAAGCTGCTGTGTCATATCATGCGTGCAGCAGCCTCTCAGTATTTGCATGATTGATTCCAGGAGGTAACTTGGAAGCTGTGGTAGCTTGATCACCACTTCATGGCTCAGACATGTAAATTATCCCACCCACTGGCTTGATGCAGTGATTTCACTGTTGGTGGAATGAGAAATGAGCTCATAACCTGGTCTGGCACATGCAAATTTGCCTTTCTAAATGTGCATCCTACAGGAATGAGCTGTTGTAGAATCATTGGCCATGACAGTCCGTACACACAGGTGGCATCTGTAGGTGTGCCATGTGTCCAGTTCTACAGCAGTAGTGAAAACGGAGATAGCAATGCCTGAAGAGTTTCTACTGGTATAATTCTCACTGTATTAAGAAATTATTCTTTGTGTGGGAGGTGAGGAAAGCTAGCTGGGCTAATAAATGATGGTTAAAAAAAAAAAAGAAAAGGTATAGCATGCATGGGTACAGTTATGTAAGAGAAGGAAATAATCTCAGTGTTTCTCTGAGAACCTCATCCACAGAGCTGCCAGGCAATTGGGCTGCAGTATTGTTCTCAACACACCCTCCGCTTCCTTTTTTCCTTTTTGGGGCCAGGGATGGATGAATTGATGGAGCAGGAGCAGGATGCCGGCTCTGCCTCCAGCCAATGCTGCGTGGTGCCGCGGTGTTTACCCAGCTTACGCAAGGCAGAGCCGGCCCCTCTTGAGGCAGAAGGCGCTTCCCACGGCTGAAGTAAAAGCACACAGAGCAGTCACTCAGTCTGGCAGTTGCTGGGGACTTAAAGGAGTTGGTGGATTTCGGCTGATTTTTAACAAGATCGAAGGGCTGGGTTTTTTCTTCTCTACTGTGTAGGAATACTGAAAGGACGCAAATATCCTGGTAAGTGCTCTGCATGCCGTCGCTTTTCCCTTTTAGTGTGGTATTGTTTCAGTCTCTCTTCTAAAAGCCTTCTCAGCTGCGAGGTTTTCAGTGATGCGGTGGAAAGGAAATCTGMGAGTGGGAAATCTGAAATCTGCAGGCTGCCCTTCCACCTCGGAGAGGCAGAGACGTTCAAAGTGCACAGCATAATAARTGCTTTTTGATCATAAGAAGTGTCAGTCACTTCTCATTTCTAGGGTGCAGAGCAGGGTGCCTTAAAGCTGTCATTAACTAACAAAATCGTAGTGAGGGGAATTTCTCATGGAGCTGTTAAATATTTGTGTTGTCTAAACAGAAAAAAAAGCTTTAAATGTAACTCCTATTTTTGCAAGATGATATAGTATGCKATGTGAAAAAGCTTCAGTGTAATACAAACAGCTATGTAGCAGATCCTGATGAGGTAGTTCATGTACCAAAGTCAGTCAGAGGCTCATAAAAAGCRAAACTGCAATGTTCAGGCATGTAGAACAAGAAGTCATTGTGGTTTTTTGCAAGCCCAGGCTCCTCAGCCGTRTATTCAGTACAGGTGCATCAGACAGTAGATTTTCCTGGACTCAGTCATCAAAGCCTGAAAAGTTCCATTGCTTTGTGTAAAAATAAAGTGCTTCTGTTTTGGTCTCAACTCTTAGGAAGCTTTGCTTTTTGTGAATGACTCTAAGTGAAAGTTGGGACTGCTGGTTTGTTTTTTGTTTTTTTTTTTTTAAGGTAATACTCTGTTATTTGTCTGAAGCAGTGGAGAGAATGTTAAAGGTTTTTAACTGAAGAGTTCTCTGCAATAGAACTATACTTCTGTACCAGTATTGTACAAAGTTTTTTCTTTTYTGCTTGTACTTTTGCAAGGCACTCTTTGAAGGTACAAGTAGGTGTGATGAACACCTGATGTTCTCCCAGTGTGCCTCTATGCAGTATTGTTTTATGACTTTTTCATAGGGGTTACAGGTTATAAATAAACTTCATTTGATAATCCGAGTGAAAKAAAAATGAAATCAAAACTATACTTTTTGTCAGCATAACACACAGTTCRTACTAACATGCAAAGTGCAAGTGCAGCCAAAATTTCATGGAGAAAGCTGCAAATTAATCTTGTGAASTAGCTTGTGTGAGTAACTTTGACAGGTAGTTCAGGTGATGGAGCAAGGACAAGCTGTGGTGTGYGACCCTGGTTTCAGAGGGGCTGAGTCCCAAGCAGGGCTCCACGCGTTGTCACTGCTATATCCGAAAGCTGACGTGGAGGAGATGGGGGCAAGGGGGTTCAGACTGAACTGCGTGTAAATGGAGCAGGTTAACTGCTGAAGAACTTTCTCAGCTAATTAAGGATACAGATAATATTGCAGTGACAGCTTTAAAATAGACACCTTGTGCTAAAAGACAAATGTTTTTGGCTTCCCACACGCAGTCTGAATTACATCATTTATAACCCGTAGGAGGTTATCGTGGTTTCCTCAGGGGAGGATCAGCTGTTACTTTTCATAACTGAAAAGATTCTGGGCTATTTTATTTTGCAGGGGAATATTTTCAGAATTGATTTTTGTCAGTCTTTTGGAGTGGATCGTTATTGGTTACATAGATCTTCCTGGTTTCATACACTCAACCACATTCTCATGTCATCAATGGCAGTTCAGAATAAGAGAGCTGAAGTTGGCAGAGGTCTGATTGAAATCAGGYCCCCGTGCTTAGATGGATTTTTTCTGTCTTCTGAAGAGGAATGCTRTTTTTGAATACTATCATTTTTGAGTGCACACAGATTTTCATATAGGTGCCTATAATGAAGTCCTACTCTAAAATACTTCCCCTGTTCATTGAGCAAAGTTGCTTGTCCTCAAGGYGCTATTCTGGTCTTTCCTGAAATTGCTGAGAACTTCTCAGACTTGCTTCTGAGGCTGGAACGGAACTTGAAGCAGAATGCTAWATGCCAATTCAACCAAAACTGGTGTTTCTTAGACTGGAAAAAGTTAGCTGTAGCCTTGGAGCAAAACAGTAAATTTGCTCCTATATATCAAGTTAATGCCTCTTTGAGTGTCTCTACAAGACAATGGGCTTTTCTCTGTGTATTGCATGACTTGTTACCAGGATGACCAGCCTACGAATGGCAAATGTCCACAGTAAAAAGATGCTTTCACTCWGTTTATGACAATGAAAAACTCTCTATTGAGATTTTACAGATGTTCTCAAGCCGTAGTAGCAGATAAGCTGTTGCATTGGTTTTATTGTGCAGAATCAGCTGCTTGCTCATTTCAGAGCTTGGCCACATTGTCTTGTTTTTGATGCTTTCATATCATAAGACACTTGTGTGTATATAGTGGATGACTAAGCTTGTTCTGAGTTACAAAAGAAAAGGTGTACAGTATAGATTAAGGAAATAATAAGCCATACTRAAACAAAAGGCTGGACYGATACTCCACACTCCCAAGGCTTAYTCTTGGGGTGTTCTGATGATGAAAAACTTGCGTTTTTAGAAATAAGAAAATTAGTTATCCTGCTTTAAACAGGTAGTGTATGGCTACTGATCTAAAGTAATAGGCATTTAAATTGCACTAACAGCTGCCTCAATATACCTTYMCTGTGCATCTCTAGTGAAGGATGCAAGCTGTAGACAGGATCTGKCTAATCTCAAAAGTGGAGCCTAAAACCCATTGATGTTAAAATTGCAGGTGTTGTGTGTGAAGGAAACGTGAGCTTGTTTTTAACTGGGAGCTGAGAGAAGTGTGAAAACTGTGGTTGATAAATACATGTCTTTTTACCCAGTTCAGTAAAAACTATTTTAATACAAGCTTACAAAAAGGTTGATAGGACTAAGAGCTAAAGCAGAAGAACTTTACAGTGGCAGAAGTTACTTGACCTATCATGTAGAAGAAAGTGATTTCTCAACCTTTGTCTCAGCTTTCAGAAACATAGTGATGCAAGGAGATGATTCCTTGTTACTCCCACTGGTGGAGAGCAGTAACATTATTGATATTGTTTGTGAAACCTGGCAACCTGGACTTGGTAGGAGCACGTACTCAAATAAGAAGTCAGTGTGTTGGGAATTACTATGGGGTTTGGGGTTGAGTTTTTTTGGGGTGTGGGGTTTTTTTGGTTTTTTTTTGTTCGGGTTTTTTTTTTGGTTTTTTGTGTTTTTTTGTTTGWTTTTTTTTTTCCTTTTTTGCTTCTCTCTGGTTACTTATTGCCTCCTCCTTCCACACTTTCAGACATATTCATCTTGAGAAACTGGTATTCTGTACAGCTTGTTTGTGTCTCATAGTGACTTTTAACTTTGTTGTTCTGGCTGTTTAAATCTGGAAATCAAGATTTTTCCTTTGAAGTGGTRAGATGTAACCACAGAAGAGAATGTGCAGTGCTGAAATACTGTACGTGTATTCAGAGAATTTTGGTTTCTGATCTTACAGTCACAGGAAACTTGCCCAGTGGAAACTGGAGTGATAAAGAGCTTAAATGTTTGAATGGATGTTGGCAAACTTAGGTCCTACTTGTGTATTGTCAGGTATTGTCACATTGTGACAATGTGAATTGTTTGTTTGCAGTATGGGGTTTTAAATGCAAATAAAGCTGTAGACAGTAACATGTAAATCTGGAGTGATAAGGACAAAATCTTGTTTCATTGGTAATGGAATTATAATCTATGTCTAACTGTTCASAAGTGCACCCAAAGTGCATATTCCAGTCGCTTGATAAAATTGTGTGGACTTCCTAAAAYGAACTGTATTCCTAGAATAATTTCGGTTGGGAGGTTGTCTAGTTCAGCCCCTGGACTCAAAACGGGACTGGACTGCCTTAGATCAGGCTGATCTCCAAGGATGGAGATTTTCATAACCTCTGTGGATTGAGGGTTTCCCCACCCAATAATAGCTAATCGRGATTTTTAGTGTTGTAGCTTGTTTGTTGCCTCTCTTTCTGTCACTGCATACCTTGAGTCAAAAAGACTCGATTCCATTTTGTCCCTATCCCCTCTGGTTTAGCACAGAACTGCTGGGGGAAGAGCTGGATGTGAGAATTGCAAGGATAGTCAATGGAGAACTGCAAATAGCAAATGCTATAAAAACAAARCCATCAATACATAAGATGTCTTGTGCTTTATTTCTGAAAGCCAAAGAAAAATCCAAACCTTAAAATATGTAGATATGGAACATAAAGATAATATTATAAAAATAGAGGGGAGAATTCCCATTTTTTGCATCTGAATCAGCACATTTTTATTTTAATATGCTCATTGACAGAGGACTTCTTTCTATACTGTGAAAGTGGTTTTCTATGCAGTATTTTAGAAAAGGGCTAGTCTGGCACTAGCTACAGTTGCTAGCAGCCTATAATGCTGGCTCTGTGTTTAGAAAATGACGGTAATTTATTACAAAGAGACTTTTATTCTAGTATTTTTAGCTTGCAGCCGAGTGTTTAATGAATCTCTGCTTGGGCTCATTGAATTTATGTTCTCCCCTCCCCCTGCCCCATTTTAACCATTAAGATACTGCTATTCTTGCTGCAATTCCAGAAGCTGTAATTAGTCTATGAAATAGCAAACTCATTTGCAAGGTGCTGTGCCTTCCTGCAAACAAAATTTGAAGACTTGCAGAAGCAACTAGAGAGTAGTTGTGAGTGTGTCTTGTGACCAGGAAAGGCAGCTGAATAGTTCAGAGTGACTGGTAAGTTAGATCTGATAGTTCAAAACCAAACAAAATTCCATCTGTCTCTGTCTCCCATGGAAAATGATGTGTTCAGTGAAAGGGACCTCTTAAGCTCATGTACTCTGAGCGTGGTTTGTGAGGTCTTCCCAGGCAATAGTCTGSATGCAGAGACCAGTGTTTGCATGGGGCAACAGGCACTACAACGATGTGACTTTTCCTTCTCTTGGAATGGAGTCAGAAATCTGTGGCTTGTTTTCTCTGCTATGGCAGTCTTTGCCTTCTGTGACTTTAGTGAGTACTGCAAACAGGAAGGCRTGTAAGAAACCAGATTTACATTCCTCAAACAAGTTTTAAATGCTTTTCTCAGTTTAGTTGTTATCACTTTTCAGTCCTTCAAAACAGTTGCATGTGATAGTATTGAGTAAGTTATCCTTGTTGAACTTTCTGCTGGCCCCAGAGGAACCAGTGTTAAGAATGAAAAGGTTACCTGTTCACGAGTTCTTCCCATTCCAGTTTCCTGGTTTTGGTACTGGATTTTAACTGGTACCCACTGTGGTTTGGGGCTAACTGCAAATAGTTGTGCTTGCCTTTAGCCCTGCAAGTTGYTTTACTCACAAAATCCTTTCAAGTCCATAAGTACAGTACTGTGCAAAGGTAAGGGTTTTCAGGCTTCAGTCTCTTCTCTTTGGCAGAAATGAACTGAAAAAGTTTACTGAAAAAGTAAAATTTTACTGAAAAGTTTACTTCTGCCAGTTCTATGATTTTTGGAAGAACGTTGGATGAGATGGGATCTTGTAAGTGACATCTTATTCCTTAGCAGTGGTGAAGGTTCTTGGAGGAGTTTAGAACAGTCTGTTGTTCAGAGCTTGCTCCAAGGAAGCTTGTTGCACTGATGTCTGGAAATGCTGCTGCAAAAATATAGCTTCCATGTATTTTGTTCAAACAGTTGGTTCCTTAGCTGTATAATGGCACTTCAGAGCCAAGTTGTCTTTTTAATTAGCCTTTCCTAACTTTTTGAAGAAGTCTCCTGTAGTGCTCTAGGAATAAAAACTGATCAGGTTGTACTACAAGAGAAGGCCCATTATATATTTTAGTGGATCCTTCTGTTCTACTCAACAGCATTCCTTGCTGTAAGTACTCAAATCATCTTTAAAYGACCTATAAGCCTGCTCATTTCAGAAGTGGAGATGTTATCACAGRGYGGATTAGTGTCGTCTCTAGTGGGAMAACACTTGASTTTTATTTGCAGACATGAAATTTCCCTTGGACTGGTCTTCACGGCCTCATTGGAAGGATGTCATCAATCTGTGTTCTATCTGGGAACACAAATATTTTCCTTTTAGGTACAGTGGACCAGGCAGATCACACTGGATGAGAAGTAGTGTGTATGTTGGGCTGTCTATTTTTTAAGAGTGCTGAATTTTGTATSTGCTTGAGTTGAAGTAATCTGGGGGTGTTAGTAGTTGTGAAAGTGGTGTGTGTAGCTCATAAAGGTTGAGATGTATTCCAAAACAACAACAAAAAAAAAAGTTCAGACATTCAAGCTACTGTGAAAGTGGATGAGCAAGCTAGGTTATTAATGATGGTTTTAGATTGCTAATGCTCGAATCTTCCTTAAGTCTAATAAGAAGTGGATTTCCATCATGTGCAAAATAAACTTGATTGGATTYCCTCAAACGTAAAGCAAAAGAGAATGTTTTAAAGAGGAGCTGAGTGATAGATGTGGAACATCTTTCCTTATACTGAGATTTTTTATTTAACTCCTTGTTTTGCTGAGGTCTGTCCCTGGGAACTGCTGACCACTTTTATCATTTCTGCACAATTATCTGGCCACTTGTTGAGGTAACACTTTATAGTCTTCTTTAACTATTCACGTGTTACTCACATGAGAGTCTGAAGTTGGCTCAGACTGAGAGATGTATTTTTTAGTTTTCCATTAAAATTGTTCACGTGGGTGAAGAGAGGAAGAGGAGGAGCTACCCCAAGCCCSTTCTTGTACTAGAGCCTAAAGTTATTTTTAATGTTTGCCTTCCCACTTTCTCTGAGTGAAAGGATTAGCTCTTTATCTAACACTGTAATGTGGGGTTATACTATTTAAATCTTTGGTTACGGTGTCATGGTGTTTCCTAGTCCTGTGCTGTTTCCTGATAGGCACTGCTGTAGGTTTCATGGCAGTATTTCTYGTGAGCTGTTAAATGTCAAGGCAAAGGACAACTGTTGGCCAAGATGAAATTAGTTGTGTGTGAAAAAGAAAGAATTGCAGGGGAGAGACTGTTGAGGAGATCAATATTTAAGCAGAAAATAGTTTAATCATGTGGAGRAGATAAGAGACCATGAGCTCTTTTAGAAGACAATTATACAAGCAACTGTGGTGCAAGAAGATTTTAAAATAAAACAAGAAATGTTGAAGTTGATAATAAAAATACTTCATAGAAAACATGTCCTTATTTTTATATACAGATGGGTTCCTGACTGTTTTGAGAACAGTGAGATGTTTTAACCTGTTTATTAGCCTCCCTATTTGTGAGAAGCCCTCCCAAATACRTGGAATAGCATGAAGGAGCAAACTTGAGTTTTTAGAGAGCACTATGAGCTGATTGCAGATGACAGTCAACATATGTGTGCTGAATATGAAGTTGTARATTTGAGAAAACATGTTGAAGGCCAAACTTCTCTGTGCAGGAGCAAAGACTGGGAGAGGGTGCAGAGATAAGGTCAGTGAAGGATCTTTGCATCAGCCTCTGAACAAATGGGAGCAGGCTGTCAAGCACTGCCACGTCCTTTTCTCTGTTCTTACGACATAAGATGGGGGTAGATAAAATCTGCATGATGACATCTTTTCTGCTAATGACTATGGTTAAGGTAGAAGAAAGTGGAGATACAACATTGTTGTTTTGATCAAAGTTGATGACAGGATTCAAGAAGTGCTGTGTGGGTCAAAAAGTGCATTTGCACAGAAGGCAGAATTTTAACCATCAGTACTAAAAAAGATTAGCAGCTCTTCAAGTTGGTATGAAAACTTACCTGGAAGGCTGAAGGAAATGTTTTTATTTCTGTTAAAGAAAGCCTCAAACAGGCTCTCATCAGCTTTATTCTTTATCAAGAAAGTGGCCTACTGGGTAGGTTTTCTCCAGAGGAAGGTCAGAGATGAGCTGCATAGGTCAAAATTGTCTGGAAATGCTTCTAATGAGAAGCTGTGAAAAATACAATATGAACTCTTCCTTAAAGCAGAAGTCTGAAGAAAAAATGCACTTCAAGACTGTTTTMATTAGGAGTTATGTGGAATTCCCTCAGGAAATCTCCTTCAAACAGATGTTTATATCACTTCTGTCTCTAGCTAAACATGAGAGATCACATTGCACACCCTAAACTTTTATGGTAGACTCAATATCAAATTGTCATACAACTTCCTTCCATGTGCTAATCCAGAAACTTCTTGGAAAGCTCTTAATCAGACACTTCCCATGAAAACTTCTGCCTCTCTAACTAATGGACTTATCTTGCTTTGTGGGTTTTTTCCTTTAAATTTAATGCCTATCTGGTTCTACTTCTTAATAGCTGAACAAAATATAATGAAGGAAGCTATATATAATTTATTCTAAAAAATAGCATGGAGGAAAACAAATATGGATGTTTTAAGACCATAGTGGAATTTTCTAAATGCATTTTTCTGTGATCTGGTAGTTCTTCAAGGTACTTACGCCTTAAATCATGTGGTTTCATATACATGTTTTTAAAATTATTTTTCAGGCAAAATCAAAACATGGAAAACATAAAATATTTTACCTTCTATGTCAGATAGGTGTGCAAGTCTGTGTAATTGATAGATTAGATTATTTCTTCTTACACTTATTTTTTGTTTTATTTTTACAGGAAATAATGAAAAAAGTGTGCCACAACTCTTGATCAGAGACCTGACATTTGAGAAAAAGCCATTAGCTAAGCTCATGTTTTCTCCTGATCAAGAAAATCATCCATCAAAAGCACCAGTCAAATATGGTGAATTGATTGTGTTGGGGTAAGTGTTTGTATTTAAGAGTCTGAGAGTTTTCTGTGTGGTAATTCTTTGGATGTGTTTCAATATTGTGTTAATCAATTCATAGAYTTAAATGTGATTAATTGAAAATCTGTAATTAGTAACACTTTTAATTGAGAGCACTTGGTGCATAGAATGAAGGCTCTTGTGGGTCTGTGTCTCATGAGAACTAAGTAATACAGGAATGATGGACATTGTTCTTTTTCTGTGTTTTTTGATAGGTACAATGGGTCTCTCCCAAATGGAGATAGAGGAAGAAGGAAAAGTAGGTTTGCTTTATTTAAAAGGCCCAAGGCAAATGGGGTGAAACCCAGCACTGTGCATATTGCCTGTACCCCTCAGGCAGCAAAGGTAAGCTCCATTTCTCTGCTTYAGTCTGTCTGATTTCACCTAGTGCAACATAAAGAGCTGTTATCAAATAGTGTAAACAGCATAAAGTTCTGACTGTGAAAGAATGGTTTGTGTTTCTGCAAGGTTTTTTAGTGTCTGTCAGGATTAGCAAGAAACAATTCAGCAAACGAGATCTGATGCCTAGTCCTTGCCATGACCAGGAAAAAAATAGTTTGGAAATATGAATGCTCTGGGCACAAGCTAGTCATATAAAACATTTTCTATTTTGTTTTCCTTCCAAGTTCACTACAGACATCTGTTTTAGCCTTTGTGGTTTTGCACTCACTCATGCTTTAGGACTAACTTTGCTCACGTGAAGCTGACTTTTAAATGATCCTTTGCCAAAGCTCCACGTGTACTTACTGCTCCATCCAATGGGTAAGAGTTCCCCAGGGATCAGGACAGGTGGGTTTTGCAGGGCATGTTTCATAGGGCTTGTGATCAGAATTCCCATTAAGAAGCAGTAAAGGAAGGGCTTGGGCCCTGAAGTTGAATTGTATTTCATGTSAAAACTAGTATGTTACAGCTAAGGTATTACCATGAAATATTTCTGTATTGTGGCTATTCAAGTATGTGTGCAATTGTGTTCAGTAATTCATGGAGCATTTCTGCTAAAACAATGRAATTTGAGAATKCTTAGGGRTTGTTCAGAAATTGCAAGAACAAGATCAGTCCTTCAAMCAACTACGGTAGTGTCAAGTGTTCAGTTCCCAGAATACCTTGACACTTGAGGATATTGACCCTAAATTCAGGGAAATTTGATTCTGAAATCCAAAGCAWTTTTCTAACAAAAAATTCTTGTAGTAGAATTATGTTCACAGGAGATCTTTGAAGAGAACATTCATTTTTGCAAATTCTTTATGGTCTTGTAAGTGCTGTTTAACAACACTTTTAGAAGTGTTTGTTCAGTTCCTAGTAATTGCAGAATGAACATCTAGACTAACAAACAGAAACCTTCTGCAACCTTTGTTGAGTTTCTCCATTTTACCCTATTTRCCACCACTTTTTTGTCTCTGTATCTTAAACATTACTGATTTTATGATTAATTTAAATCCTGTTTTTAGAATGAAGTCCCTAAGCTTTTGTCCTCACTTTGTTGTTGGCCAAATTCACATTGAGATGGACATGAAGGTGTTACATTCAGTTTTACTTTGCATTCGGTTGTTTTGTCTTTTTGTGTTCAGGCCAGCATTGCTTTAACACAAAACATGATGAATAATATGCCCTGGTTATGTGTGTTCAGTTGCAGCATGTGGTGAAGAGACCAGTTTGGTCTGTTGCTGAATCAATCCTGCAGCATTTTTTTTAATGGCCAGGACTGGGTTTTGTGAAGTTCAGCTACAGATGTGTTATTAACAACCATCTACTTTAATGTATTAATTAGCACAAGAGCCTGGTTATATATCTGTATACATATATATAGAGAGAGAGAGAGAGAGAGTCTGTTTTGCTGCTGTATACTGTAGAATTATTGTGCACTGGTTCAATAATATTTGGCATTTTTCCCTAGGCAATAAGTAATAAGGACCAACACAGCATATCTTACACATTGTCTCGGGCCCAGACAGTAGTAGTTGAATATACACATGACAGCAACACAGATATGTTCCAGGTATGTGAAGTGAATGTGTAAGTGTATTCTTACTTTTGGTAGTTTCAAACAAAGTATCCTCTCAGCAGGCTTTTCCCTCAGACCCAAAAGTTTGTGTGTGTCAGCTTTTGCACTCACTGTTCAGAGCAATTTAATTCTGTCCATTCCCAAGTCCATCCTGTGAACGGGCTATGTGTCTGTGCATCACTTTTAGACTTGGGCAAAGGTGAAAGTTGGGGGTTTTTGTGACTARTGCCCAAGATTATGGTTTTGCCTTTGATTGCTGGTCTGCAGTCACATAACCTGTCTGCTGGTCCCTCCTTGCAAARTGAAGAATAAAGGACACCGTTCTCTTTAAGCACTTGGAACTTTGCTTCTGGCATTTACAAAGGGATTTGGGATCAGCCAGTTGGAGACGGGGTAGAAGAAATACAGTGTGGAAACACAGGAAAGCTTTTGGCACAACTAATATGAAAAATACTCTGAACTTCTTTAAACAAACCCAGCAATGTCTAAAGCACTGGGAGATGTGAAGAGAGGAGCCTCAGTGCTGATGCTGGCAGTTCTCAACAACTTTGCTGCAGTTCCTGTGTGTATGAGAGGGGACCACAAACACATTTGCAGCTGTGGCGTGCCCTCATATCTTATAATTGTTTCCTGTTTTTCTCAAAAGGAAGGGTTTTGTTTTGGGTTTTTTTTTTATAAATGTGTGCTTTGTTCTCTCTGATTCCCAGACTGTGATCTTGCGTAGATTTCTTTTTCTCTGGTTGTTGCCATTAGTTTATGGCAAGGAGTTTTGCTGTCACAGCATTTAGCTGTGACGCCACTGCAGGATCTAAGGAGGTGGGAGGTGTTGGAAAGTGGTGGAGGAAGCTGCTTTGCAACTGCAAATACTTAGAGCAAAAGGACTGTAATGAAATCACTGCAGCACAAGCTATTGTTTGTGTGAGTGTTCTCTCTTCAGGCATGCTTTGGCATGTGTGCTGCTCTGAAATCGCCCCTGGCAGTCCCCGTGTGCTCACGGGTTATCCTGCCTGAGAAGCAATAGAAAAATACATTCTGACAAAGCAGTTTTAGCCTCATGAAAGCTCTGCAGCCTTCACCAGAAAACATCCCAAGCTTTGGGGTCTCTTGCTCAGCAGTTARTTAGTCTTAATGTAACCATCTGTTTTCAAAGAGCCTGAGAGCTCTGGAAGTGAGTGAGTAGTAGTGTGTAAGGAGGGTTTAAACACAGCTATTGGATGTTTAGAAAGGGTTATTACTTTTCTTCTTACTTTGTAAGGAAAAGGACAAGATGAGTTGACTGGAAAAGCAGTAATACCCATGCAGTTCTGCCAAACTCAGTACAGTTGTGTCAGACTGCAAAACTCAGTGGTTCCCTGCAGCCAGAMAAGGAGGCACAGCTACCAGGAAAATGTGATTGTAGTCAGATGTTACATTCTTGTGTTCTGAGTGTGTAAATAYAGCCCCTTTCCACCACAACCACCTTGTACCTGGTCTTTCACAAAAGGTTTACTCCCTCTCAGTGCCCACAAGAGCTGAAGAGACAGCTCACATAATCTGATTTTCATGCATCTATACCTTGACTTAGTCTGGCACYGTTCAGAATGTTCTGGGCATGCAAAGTGACTGAATGTCACTTTTCTTCCCTCTAACTGCTGTTCCCTGGCTGTTTTGGTGCTGCTGCAGCTGGTCTGCCTGACCTGAGTGTAACCTCTCTGATGAAAAGGCCTTGAATGAGAAATCATCTCAGAATTGACTTAATTACATCATTTTATTTCTTCTTCCTTCATTTGGCTGTACCCAGCTTTCAGAATAACTTTGATCATTTGAAGGCAGAATAATTCATCAATTCAGATGAGGCTTTAGAAACCTAAATTGATAGATTGGTGGACAGGAATGCTTTCAACTGTAATGTCATGATTTTTACCATTGCTTTTAAGTGCTTTGAATTTGAATATTCGTAGACTCAAAGACAAACTTCTGACCAGTTTTTTTCTTAATCCCTTTCCAGATTGGTCGGTCAACAGAGAGTCCTATAGACTTTGTGGTAACAGATACAGTTCCTGGGAGTCAGAGTAATTCAGATACACAGTCAGTGCAGAGCACTATATCAAGGTTTGCCTGCAGAATCATATGTGAACGTAACCCTCCCTTTACAGCAAGAATATATGCTGCAGGATTTGACTCCTCAAAAAACATCTTCCTTGGGGTAAGGCAGTTTTTTTGGTTTTTTTTTCCTCTAAAAATTTGGTGCAGGCTTATTTTTTAAACTAATTCATAGCTCCACTTCAGCCATATTAAAAGTTCTCATGATGTAATTTCATTTAGGAGAAAGCTGCAAAGTGGAAGACATCAGATGGGCAAATGGATGGACTAACAACAAATGGAGTTCTTGTTATGCATCCTCGTAATGGATTCACAGAAGACTCCAAGCCAGGGGTGTGGAGAGAGATTTCTGTGTGTGGGAATGTGTTCAGCCTCCGTGAAACCAGATCAGCTCAGCAGAGGGGAAAAATGGTGAGAGGARTGAACAGTGTTTAAAATGGTGCAGCCATAAGGGGTATAGTTTGGGCATAGAGCTGGAACCTTCTGGAATTCAGTTAGTAGTTGCCACCTCTGCAATTAGTTACAGTGCCTTTTATGTGCCTGTCTGTGTGCACAAAGGTGTCTTGCTCAACCTGAATAACTGATTGGGTTTATCTACAAACAAGTTCTTTATTGCACGTCTAGGCTACRCTCCTAAATTGAGTTCCCAGTCTACTCAGTACTTCTGCAAACTGTGCTAGCCCTGTGCACATYCTACAAGTATTTTCCTGATTCTCCCTTGTGAGTTTATGTTTTTAAGGTTTTGTTTGCCACTTTTCCTCTTTTATAGAATAATGAAGAAAAGTTATAAAATCTTTGGATATTCATTTCCATGTTGTCATTCTGAGTTCCTTTCCTTCCCCTTTCCTTGTTTCCAAAGCATTGGTGACACTTCCAGGAGATAATTGTTTTTGTGTGACTTGGGGTATTTCAGCAAAAAGAAATGCTACATTGAACACTAAGTGGCATATTTAGCTAGGAGTGCTAACGGGAGGAGGGGAAAGCCCTGTGTAAAGGTGTTTGTTAAGGAAATAAGATGGAGGACTAAACCAGGCTTGTGCTAGTCCTCCTTATGCATTTTAAGTGACACAGTTGGGAGTGCTATAGGGATGGAGCAGAAAGAAGTTGTTAAGATTGGAGAGGAGCTTTCCTTACTTAATGTKGTCTATTTTAATGCACATATTAATCTCTTAAATCTTTGGGGTGGTTTTTTTTTTCAAAAAAAAAAAAGAGGGCAGAGAGAAGCTGATACTGAACTCTCTATGGGTGTCTTGCATGGGCAGTTAGAAGCTGCTTGAAACTTTGACAGATCTTCCAGGCAGATTTGTAGTACAGAAGTGCACACTGTTACTCTCTAGAGACCCTTAAGGTGACAGCTCTTTGTGTCTGCATCCATCCCAAGGTCGAGAACGAGACGAACCAGCTGCAGGACGGCTCCCTGATCGACCTGTGCGGGGCGACGCTGCTGTGGCGCACGGCCGAGGGGCTCTCGCGCACGCCGACCGTCAAGCACCTGGAGGCGCTGAGGCAGGAGATCAACGCGGCCAGGCCCCAGTGCCCCGTGGGCTTCAACACCCTGGCGTTCCCCAGCATGAAGAGAAAAGATGTTGTAGACGAAAAGCAGCCCTGGGTGTACCTGAACTGCGGCCACGTGCACGGCTACCACAATTGGGGGAACAAAGAGGAGAGGGACGGCAAGGACCGCGAGTGCCCCATGTGCCGCTCCGTCGGCCCCTACGTGCCTCTGTGGCTCGGCTGTGAGGCGGGCTTTTATGTGGATGCCGGACCTCCGACCCACGCGTTCAGCCCGTGTGGACACGTGTGCTCAGAAAAGACAACTGCATATTGGTCCCAAATTCCTCTTCCTCACGGTACTCACACTTTTCACGCAGCCTGTCCCTTCTGTGCGCATCAGCTGGCTGGTGAGCAGGGTTACATCAGGCTCATTTTCCAAGGGCCTCTCGACTAACACAGGTGTTCTCGAGGACTGCGGTAAACTGATAAGCTAAGCGATTCTCATTTTTAAACCAACTGTTTTTCGTATTCTCTGGGCTTTGCTGGTTTGCATTAAGATGAAGAATTTTTTGCTTTTTTGTTACAACAGCTAAATCCCTCTTTTTTGAGAAAAGTCTGGAAATCGAAGAAATTGGGGGAGAAAGGGGAGACCTGCTTTTTTTTAGTTAATAACTGCTTCTGAAGAAGTGAAGGAAKTGTTGTAGAGTGAACTTCGATGCCTTCAGTTTAATGGTTTTAAATCACAYGCCCACAGTGTTTGAAAGATGTTTCATTCTTTTTGTATATGGAGGGTAAATAGTTCAAAGAACATTAGTTTACAGCTTTGATGCAAACATTGTAAAATATAACATGTATATTAACTCTTTTCTATTTATCTTTATTATTGAAAATATTTAGAGTGCTTAGAGAGTAGCATGGTCATAGTGTGTTACATCCAGCAATTGGATGTGTAGAGTAGTTCTGGATGGAGAAGRACGTGGGATGGAAATGGTAGAAAAATCTTAATCTAAAATACTGAGTTCTTAGAATAGTTAAAATGCTTTTTAAACAAAGCTAATGCAAATTATGATGGCATAAAGTTGTGATTTAATTGTGTTGAAAGGTAGCTAAGAAGGACTTCTTAAAATGTCTTTTTGGTAGGACTGTACTCAAGATCTGGTTATGAGGAGAATATTTACCAGACTCTTCGAATATGCAACTTAGTCTAGATTAAGGATTTTTTTCTCCCTTCACGCTAACACTTCTCTTTATTTAGCATTAGTGACATTTGTGAGGGTTTTTCCAATGTTAAACATGAACAGACCTGAAAGATGAGTCTTGTTCTGTTCCTTGCTGTTTGGGGGGTGGGTGAGGGAGGAGGTGGATGCACCTGGGCACGTGTGTGGGGAGCAGTCTGTGACTTGGCYGCAGTCCCAGCTTGAGAGGGGTTTGTCAGGGGCATGCTCAGCCCACCACCTGCTGACTGTGGGGGGSYCTCAGGCYTGGCTTTRCCCCTCTGCCASGTGCTCATCTGGGCCACACAGGGARSAGAGCTGGAGCCTGGCACCCAGGGGATGTGTGCCAGTGTCCCTGCATCCCTGGGCAGCTGGGCACAGCTGGCAGTCTGTTGGGACAGCTGGGGCTGGGCTGGGTTCAGACTTTGGGCGTGGGATGCRGTGCTGGGCTCTGGTTGCTGGTCTCTCTCTGCTCTCGCCTTCCTCCCCCTTCTTTCCCTCTGTATCCACCAGAAAAGACCAGGGCATTACATGCAGCTCTGCTCCCAACCCGCTGTGCTTCATGGCAAACACACAACCTGACCTTTTTCGGCCAGCTTCATACWTTTTTTTTTTTYCAAAATATGTACTGTATAATTGACAGCAACAAATTTCTGTACTTTATAGCAAAGCTTTCATTTTTCTTTTGAAGCTGTTCTAAAATTTTCTTTGTTTAAAGAGACCTGTGTTGCTTAGATGTCATGAATTACTTTGACTGTCAATTATTTCTCCATTTTTAAAATGAAATTATATATATTGTTTGGTTCACTCAGGAAATGCATGTGTCAGGAAACCTGTACTATAAGTTCAGTTAGCTGTCATGTACAAGTAACTGCTGTTACTCCCTTTCAATAGAAATATAACTGATTTTGACATTTTCCAGATTATATGCATTAAGTAATGAAACTTATGCAGCAAGAAATCCCTGTATTGTAGTTGTTCTAATCATCTTATTCAAACTATAGTATACTGTAGTTTTAATTTTTATTTGCAAATTAATTTATTTAAACTACGTGAGTAAACACTTTTCAAAAATAGAAATTTTGGGATTGTCTGTGGCTTTGTTTCCAAGAGATGGGAAAGGTGGCTGGGGATGGACCTTCTGTCACCTCAGGTGCCTCTCTGTTCTGCACATGTGGCTTAAGAGCACAGAGAAACAGCTGTGAAGRCTTTGCACATTTTCCCTGGTCATGGCTTTGAATGGCTCCTTTCAGATGTGTACTCTTAATGTGTTTTACATTTGACAGTGTTAAAGGTGGGATTGTTGTTTAAAAGACACAGTTGTTAAATGATGTCTTCCCTGAGTAAGTTACAAATACTGAAATGTAAGCAAAAACTGAACTAAATGTCTGGGTTCTTTTAAAATGACAAGAATGCTTGATTCCRTCTTCCACAAAATCTAATTGGCATTTCTCTGGTCCTGATCTTGTTGACTACAGGAACATGAAAAGCCAGAAAAGGATATGATGAAAGCTACAGAGTGGTATGAGTAACACAGAGTTCAGCTGTGAGCACAGATAGTGCAGGGGGATTGCAGGAGGAAAATGGAAAGTGTTGGAGGCCCAGCTGGAGGCTGGTGTGGAGCCAGGGGTGCAGTTGGGTACATGCACATCTGACTGGAGAGGGGAAGAAGAGGGTGATGCCCAACATGCAGCCCTCCGTAGGACTCTACCCCATTTAAGATGATACATTATGCTTACATTGTACTTCTCTACCCCAATGCTCACCTCCTAACCCCCAAAGAAAAGGCATCCCAGACAAAGGTRTCTGAGCAGAGCTGACTGTGTCTCTGGCAAGTGTTAGGCTAAGTTYACTCTTCAGCCTGCCTCACGCTCTGCCTGTTTTGTATACTTCCTGTGACTCAAGCTGGGCTTGTTAATCCCATTTTTAAAAGGGCAGAACTTGGGCATTCAGATGCTTGAGACAGGAAGATCCCATGTCAAAAGCAGCAGAGCAACGGGTGAGTAGTTTGAGGAGCAAGTTCCATCACCAGCAGCAGCTCTGCCTGTGGTTCCCTGTTTGAGTTCCCCCAGGTTTCTGTTCTTTGATAAATGATTGCAGTAGTCCCCTGTAAATGGTAAAATAAATACCAGATTATAATGATTATAATGAGTTCAGCTGACTGAAGCTCTCTGAACTTTAAGGCCAGTCCTTTTGAACAAATTTTGGGGCTGCAAGAGGTGGCACTGTGCTGGCTTTKAGAGAGTCACAGCTCCACTTGTGACAGCCCAGAACAGCCCCTTGCAGGTGCAAAGACCAGCCCCAGGTGAGATCTGTGGCCTTCACCTGCTTTTAAAGCTTTGCTTGACTGGCAAGAAGCATTGGTGATTCAAGCAGCCCCCTCCAGGGCCAGGAGTGTTCCCTGGGATACCACTGCGGGTATGAGGAAATGAAAAGGCAGTGCATGTGAAAATTACATTAAGTGTAGGTACTTTTCTAGCCTTAAAGTTCAGTGAAGGTCTGCAGAAGTGAGCAGCCAGTGTTCTGGYTTGTGTGTGGCTGCTCTGTTCTGTGCAGTGCTATGTATAAAGCAGGTGATTTAATAAACTAATTTGCCTTTCAGCTGCAGGAAATTGCATGGATTTAACACTGGTGGAAGGCAGCAGCTKGCTAATAAAGCCCTTTTGGTTTTGGGTTGKTTTTTTTTCCCCAAAGCAGAAGTGGGGCAGTGCAAGGTGCTGGCTGGCAGCAGGGCAGGAGCATTGACAGGGAGATTGCWGGGGCTTTCCCTGGGGACAGCAGAATGCTCTGGTTCCTTTGCTGACCCGGCCACCAGGTTGGAGCAGTCCCACAAGTGCCTGATGTGGCCCTGAGCTGCGTGGTGCWGGCTGGGGTGAGGCCTTCCAGTCCCAGCCGTGCTGGGATTGTTGCACTGCAGGAGTGAGCCTGGTCCCTTGGAAGGTTTAACATGAAATCACCCCAGAAGACTCCTGTGTTTGAAGGTGCTCTGCAAATCCCATAATGATCCTGTCATGGCATGCTTCATCTTCTGAAGTGACACTTTCTAGGCTCAGTTCTAAAAATACATTTCCAGTTTTGCARTATAAATCTACCCTGATAACTACTTGCATGCTGTCCTTCAGCCTGGATTAGGCCTGGTTGCTGTTGAATTAGACGAGATTTCGTGGTCCTCAACTTGGCTCATCCCTTTCTGTAAAAACACTGGCAGAGCTCGTCTATTTTTAATTGTAGCACTTGGCTTTAACATAAGGGCTGTGATCATCCTAGAAATGCAGTTTCTAAGGCTTTTTTGTGACTGTAGCAGATTATTTGTACCCATGCTGTTGTGCATCCTGTAACGATGATGATGTGGGAAAGCATCTCCGCAGGAGCTGTGATGGTTCCTGTGATTGGGTCAGGGACTCCTTGGCAAGTGTGGCCTCTGCAGGATCAGCTGCAGTTCTGCCCCTTTCCAGGTGCTGCTTCCAGGGCAGCAGCARGAGCTCAGGTCCCTGTTTTCTCCCGGAGAACAGTTCTACGTCAGTGTACTGTTGGGAGGCAGTATCCCATGGTAACGTGGCTGGTGACACGAGCCGAGCCGGGGAAACACCAACGGGTGCTGCTGCAGCAGGAGCAGCCAGCTCCTTCWGCTCTGCTGGTTCTTGGTCTGGTCTGCTCCCATCTCTTGCCTGAGAGCCAAAAGGGGGAAGGGTTAAAGAGCAGAAAAAGTAGGCTTTCAGTCCCTCAAGCCTCAGGTGCCTGTGTGAGAGCAGCCATGCCAAACCCAGCCCTGGGGAGCTGCAGCAGGGCTCGTGGCCTGAGGCTGGGATCAGTGCAGCCTTAGGGAARGGCTTTAGCTGTAAATCCTGGTGCCTGAATATGTCCCTGCCTTGTACCCCCCTGAGCTGCTGCTGCTGCCCATCCTCCTCCTGCCTTCCAGCCCTGGCAACACAGCCCATTCTGCAGCCACAGCGAGCAGTGCCTGCAGAAAGGGTCCTGTTTGCCTGCCCGGTGGGGGAGCAGGTTAGGCATYGCCTGGAGCTGCATTCCCCGAGGCAAAGCTCCAGGGAGGATGAGTAACCAGAGGCAAAGTGCCAGTTCTGGCAGGCAGGAGCTCCCTGCCCACTCCCTGCTGCTCTCGGCTTYGCTGCTGTTGTGCCCAGCTCTCTGTCCTTGTCCTACTGCCCCTCTTGCMGGASGGGATGGGAACCAGCACCAAYGTCACCCTGGTTGCTGGCTGTGCTGTTTGCCTGGCTCTGCTGGCCAGGATGTGTTTGTGGCAGCAGCAAAGGCACCAGCAACTCCTGAGTTCTGTCAGCCCCACTGGGGGCCCATCTCTCCRGTGTGGGGGGCTGAGATACCTCACAGGAGTGACCTCAAGATCAACAAATGACAAATGACCTCAAGATCAACTCATGAAGGACTTCCCTGCTGCAGAAGAAACTCCTCTGTCATTTGGCAAGACCTGCAATATTGTAATGTTTTTATTTTGAATACTTTTGCTGATTTAGTGTCACTAAACAGCTCTGAGGCGGGAGTAAATGATTAATCTGTGCTGACTTCCTTTCTCTACCTTGTCTGTGTAGTACCAGTTGTGTGCTGAGATYACTACTGGAGATCTGCTGCCTTCCAGAAAAACAATGAGGGTTCTTTGGATTTTGCACTCATACCAGGATGGTCTGTTTACCCCTTTTGTAGTGTGAAACGTCTCCTGAAAAGGCTTCCCCTCTGCAGCCCTGGCACATGCACACTGGACTCCTGAGGATTCCCCATGGGCACTGCATGGAGCATGAGGACAGGATGGTTCACATTGTCAGTTAGATTTAAGTGCAGTTCAATATAGTTAAATCAGTGGGAAAAGCTTCTTTATGGGTATTTTCTTTWCTATTCACTCCCAAGATGAACTGTCTGCTTATTTATAATAATTGTCTTGACCCTTACATTTGGTTTTGCTTCAACACCCCCCAAAAAAAAAAAGAAATCAAATTAACTTTTCTCTGCAAATGTTTTATCTGAAAATTTATCAGTTGTGTTTGCTGTGATTATGTCTTTCCTTGAGTGATTCTATTAAAATATGTGACTTTTAATGCATTGAACCATGTTGACTGGGCCCAGGCTGTGCAAAATTGGATTTTTTTTGGTCATGTAGTTTTCAGTCCAGATAGGATTTCCTTTCAGTCTGTCCTGAAAAATGCTGGAAAAYGACCTGGTCAAGGATGAGGGAAGAGCAAGGCTTTCCTGGGCTCTTGGGAGACAGCTCAYGAAGGTTGAGTCTTGTGTTAAGCTTGTC